GATCTACTTTCGTTCAAATAAAATTTGAGAGATTCACAAATTAGTTATCGCACACAGCTTCGTTGTTGTGGACATTAAACATCATATATTAGCAATGCACAGCTCTTTAGTGGCGCGATACACCTAAGCAAACATATTTGGCGCTTTGGCACATATTTGGCGACTGGTGTCCCGTTAACAAAAAGTACCTACTTTTCATATTTAATTCCATGAATTTTTTTTTAGCGTAGGAATATATATGCATGTTGTTAGGCATCGTGCACAGTTACCAACCTTGAAATCATAAAAACCTGGAGAAACCGGAAAGATTTCACGCATGTGCGGCGATCTTTTTCAAAGGAACTCCAAACTGACTTTATAATGCATGGTTCAGGTAACTGAACTATTTGTAATTCAATTCTGATGTAAAATATATTAGTACTTAATTGGATATTATTCCATGACTAATTTAATTTTGTTACACTTTTATATTGAGAAAACTCCGAGTGGTGAAGGAAGGCTTTTGTTTACCAAAGTGCTTTTAAATGGGATGAAAATAGAATTAATAATTAACGTACATAGCATCTGTGTGGATAAACATAGCAATGTACCCTATATTGAAGTAAACAAACTTAAATACAAACATTAAATGACTAGACATTGCTTAAATCTTCATATAAAAATCTACAAAAGTCTACAGTAGGTTAAGACAACTCGGAATTAAATGAAATTTAATGAGAAACATTTAATAAAATCAATAAAATATAATTAAGAAATACAATTCAGATGCAATAAAATTTGATACGAAAAATTATTCTGAAAACCAGAGGCAAGTGAATGGAATTTGCCTAATTTAATTTTCAATCATTGCCGGGAAAAATTTTCCTAAGCTGAAAATTAAAAACTGAGACATTCGGGGATCTGATGAAAAACCGGGAATCTTCCGGTAAAAAGGGTTAGCTGTCAGCTACGGATTGTGTATATATAAAATCTTTAAAACATTTAGAAACAGTACTTAAATAACAGTACAAAATAATTGCCAACCCACTTCTTATAATATCTAGAAATAGGAAGCTTTGCCAGTCACAAGCCATAATCTTCTATTTCAAACTTAATTTTTTTGTTTACGGATCATATGTGTGTAAAATTAAATACTTTTATTTTCTGAAGGCAGTTAAAATTTTTGAGCCCATATTTGGGGGTGAGGTTCAAACATTAATTTTTCCCTTTTAATACGAAACATTTACACTTCTTATTAATAAGAAACATTTACATGTACATGCGTGCAAATTAATGATATGAAAGACTAGATTTCTTCAATTTAAGCTTGACAAAAAATATAATGTAAATATGTTGCTTGAGCCAAAGCATTTAAGAAGCGCTGTATAATTAATATTAACTGTCACGATAATACCGCCCGGTGGCGATGTGACTAGCGCGTCGCGCAGCTGTACCACAGGTTCGGGGTTCGATCCCTAGGCTGGGCAAGGTTGACTCAGTCCTTTCATCCCTTGAGTGGGTTAATAAAATGAGTACCACGTTCAGTTCGGTGCTAAGCATCGGTGGTGCCCTGGGCCATATGCCATGGGCAAGTGGTCAAGCCCGAGACAAGCTTGACCACTTGCCCAGGGCGTATGGTGATGCACTCCGGGGCTCAAGGTCAAGAAAGCAGATTTAGGGGCACTAGGGCAGAAGCGCCGGTGGTTTTTTTTTTTTTTTTTTTAAAGTTTGTTACTTATTATATTATCTATTACTGATAAAATATCTAATAATTGAAACACTTCAGTATTCCGCTCCAAAATAATAAAATCGCTTTGTAGAATTTGTGACATATGAGCAGACATATAAAACGAATTTTCAATAAAAAAATAAAAAGAAACTGTTAAAATGAATCTTCTTGAAATCACTAACTTGCCGTCGTTAACAACACATTCCTATAATTTATTTATTCAATAAAAACTTCTTGAAGACTCGCGAATTGGCGTGCATTTCCTATTTTAATCAGCATAGGATTTTAATTAACGAAATGAATGAAAATTTAAGTGTTAAAAAGAAACTCGTGCTGGTTTTACAGTATCTGGACGTTCGAACTGTCATTTACTTTTTAACATTAATTGCATTATTTCATATACCTAAAACTGTAATTTTAATTGTAAAGAAACTATATGCAGGTAACTGTACCGTTTATCTGCATCTCAATTAGTAGTCTCGCTCGTGCTCGCATACATGTTTTGAAGATGACTAGTGATTTAATTATAGTTAAGTGAATTACTTTTCTACCAGTCTAACGAACATGTGCTATGACTTAGTACACTATTGCGTTGTATCCGATATAGCTCATAAGTGAAATATCGAGCACGCTTTATCCATTATAAACATCCACGTGCATCCAGACGATATATTCTCAATTTATTAATTAAGTATGTGGTTGCTTGCTGAGTTCTTTTTACAATAATTTAAAAGGCAAAAAGCAAGAATAAATTTTTTTCATATATGACATCTTTATTATTCCTTGTAGCCCTCACTAACTCTATACTCATTTCATGCATGACAACACTTAGAAACTAAACTGAAACTAAAGGTGAAGTGAAAGTAGTAGTTATTATCTAGTAGAAGTAGTTGTAGTTATTATGACCAATAATAAGTGTTGCCTACATCACTCCCCTACCAGTAACAAAGTGGTGTCTTCCTGTTTGCGCGGTTGTTCCTGATTGCGCGAAATCATCAATCTTCATTACCCCCCTTCCAAAGGGCATAATGGGGGGCCGACTGGGCGTTGGCCTCTTCCGAAATGTAGGAAAGCAAAAATTTTTTAGATTTAAAAAAAGAATTTTTAAAAGAAATAATCGAAAGATATTTACGAAGTCTGAGTCTTTGTATATCTTTGCATAAATGAAGTACTGTTTTTAAAAAGGAAGAGATGTTCAAACTCTGCGATGATTTTGGCAATGAACTAAAAGATCGTTTCCTAAAGTAAAAACAGTATTCTTCCGAAATTCTGCATAAAGGTGAATTATAATAAAATCTCTGAATATATTCGTTGCGAAAAGAAAGGCAGATGAGAAGAAAATATACCTCGAATATCAAGGCAGCTTCTGAGAAAGCTTTGTCCTAGCCAAAAGAAGTTTTTTTCCTAGCTGTAAATTGTCAAAGTCCATAATTCAGAAATATAGCATCTGAATCTCGATTGAATGGACTTGCTTTACTTGCATTCATCGGAATATCCAAATACATTAATAGAAACCATTGATAAATTTATTAATTGTCAAAGGTAAATTTGTTAGTTTCAAAGATTTAATTCAGAAATTCCAGAAGCATAGCGCACGATTCAGCAGTGATTGTATATATTTATCATACTAATTTAAAATAATTAATTATGTGTATATACTTGTTAGTAATTATTGACAGTAATATAATAAATATAAATAGTTAAAGAGTATATTTAAATCATTTATTTTTATATACACATCTGTATTTGTATAATGAAATTGCTAATTATTATCAACTTATTTGATATTATTTCATTTTAAAATGCTCTTTTTCTAAATCTCCTATTCATCTAGCTTCTTTTTTAAGAGAAACTGTGTGAGTCACTTTCAATTCCAACTGTAAATGCGATTCGCAATTTAATTTATTCGTATGGTGGCAATATTAAAAACTTCGGAAACACTGGTTCAACAGTTGTAACTGAAGAGTAAGTACAATCAGCTTCTTTAAGGCAAATATCAAACGACTTTAGTTTACTCTGACGATGATCCCTTAAAATTCGTGCTTTCGAAATCTCTGATAATCCCTTAAAATGCATGCTACGATTAGAAAATTTAATAAATTTGATTACAGTGTGACGTTATTAAGTTTAATCAATGCAGCAAACGTGAAAAATATGCAATGCACTTCCCTAATCTCGAACCCTGGACCTCTCGAATACACGCCTGAGTATGCTTCCAATTAATCACGAAGGCATGCGGAAAGGAGGCAGAAAATACCTTATAACTAAAATTTTCAATTTAATAACAGAGAAAATTCAACTTTCCTTCACACTTTTCCAGGCTTAGGACTGGGAGTAAAAAATACTGGCGTGTTTAAAAGTTGTGTGATGTTAGTCACTTTCCTTTTTTTTCATATGTTTTAATCGAATTTTTGTAGATAAGAAAGAGATAATAAGCACTTTCTTATATTTTGTGATGAGTAAAATTCTTGCATAATACGTTGGATTCTTTCCTCTTTTTTGACCACACTTGTTTTCCTTCTTTTCCCTTCTAAATTTACATAACGACGATCTATAAAATAATTACTTTCTTTAGCTTCGTTTTTCAAAAATTTTATCAGTTCAGGATTCTAGGAGTTTTAGGATGGATTTTCTAATAATAGAATTTAATTTATGATGCCATCCTTCAACAATATTATTTGTCCTGTGCAATTTTTCATTGCAATTCCACATCTGTATAGTTACGACGTCATTTTCAAGCCATTGCTCAACAAAGTAATCATAAAATGCCTCTAATCTTGCATTACGAGGTGAACTTTCTGTATGCACAGCCAACCATCATCGACATATTCCGCGGGTATGTATGCAAGGGACGCACATTCTGAGATGGGTTCTAATTTCTTCATTATGCCTATATTCGTTAACAAGTCCCAAGTCTTGAATCTCTCCACAGACACTGATTTAAGTGGAAATTGCAACCTCTTATAATTAAGGAAGCAAAAATATTTTTCAGCGAAATTATAACTGCAATTTCAAATTCCATCACAATTTCTTTAGGATCCCAATCAGAAATATGATGTTTAATTAAACGAAATAATCTCTCATAAGTCTGCTTTCGCTTATCGGGAAGTAAGCAAAATAACACAGGAACAACATTAATCTCGTTAGAGGTACTTCCAATATCAACATATATAGTATAAATTTGAGAGAAAAGCTTTGAGCAACTTTTAAAAGTTCCCATCCATAAAGAAAGTTTTGCCGCTTTTCATTGCTTCCCTCCCCTTCTTACTTGAAAATACCAAAATTCGGCTACCTTTCATCGAACAAAAAGAAACTAAAGTTATCATCCATTGCTAATAATTCATTAGGAATTTCTAAATCTTCCATACATGTAGCTTCTCGATCGTATCCTTCGGCACTTTGCCTAGATTTGTATAGAGCTGTTTTAACACTTGAAAACTGCGGAATATTGGTTAATATGTCAAAGCCTTGATTGTATAGTTTTCCAACTTCTTCATTGTAAATTTGAGAAAGTGGAACATTTTCTTCTTTCGCTCTCATTTTTGCTACAAATGTTTGTTTTTTTACTAAAGAATGTGCTGTATCAGGTTGACATAAATGAATTTTTTCTTCTAAAACAACTTCTTCCTTGGTCTTAATTGAGCCTTTTGCAGCTTTTAGTTTTTTCATTTATGCAAATCCAATAACTACATTTTCCTTATTTCTATTCCGAATTCGATATTGATAACCTTTGTAAAGGGCTAAAGGCTTTTTCCTTTTAGTTTCAATAATCTCTAAAACATCCATACTGATTTAGATACGAAAAATAACAGCTAATACTAAAGATTTTAAAGTGGAATGAAACTAAAGATTTCGAGAGGAGCCTAAACTAAGACACGTCTTCAGTCTAACAATGTCAAGACGATACTAACTTATTCACAAAGAAACTGCCCCACTCTTCTTTAATGACTCATCCTCATCCTGACATCCTGAGGAACTTTGGAGGGGGACTGTACTCCCCGATTTCGCGCAAACAGGAAGATTTTTTAAAAACGCGCAAACAAGAATCGGGAAAATAAATCTAACAAAGTTACGTTACTTGAAAAAGGCGAGAGAAGATACAATAACTATACAAAATGATACAATATATATATTGAAATTATCACAAAAAATATAATTAGTTTTAAATTAATATGAAAGAGTTATATTTCAAGAAGAGTCAATAACGTATTGAAACGAACTGGAAGTTTACTTGGTCTTCCAAATCATGTAAATTTTAGGTTGTTCTAGTTGCTGACTTGGCACTGATGTTTGCTTACTTGGCACAGATGTATGATCCTTTTGAAGTTGGAGACAAAAGTCTAG